AGGGGGGTTACCCCCTCAAGGGCCAGGGACGCCCCCTCTACGGCTTCGGCGGCTGAAGACCCCGCGCTCCCCGACCACCTCGAGAACCCAAAGGCTCTTCTAAGAGCCACCCATCTTATCTGAAAAAGAGCTGTGTTGCTTCAGAGCCGGTAAAAGAAAACGATGCGGTTTGATCGTTAGCTAATATTTTTTATTAGTAAGTCGCAATAAAAATATCTCTTAAGAGCGTGTTAAGCATTTGATACTACCTAAATATACGTTGTTAATATGTTAGTGACTCTCCTAGTTAAGCAAACTAGGGAACATATGAAGCTGTCCATTTACATTTCAGCATAATTAGAATGCAATGAGTTTAGAAATTACTTTCTTTATTCTCTGCCAAGCCGAGCTGGCTAGCAAGTCGCCCTAAGGTTCTGCTCCCGCTTTCAGAGGCAGGCACGCATCGCCCCGCGGGCACCTCTCGCTGTGGTCTGTAGCTTTTCCCCAGCCGTGAGTGAACAGTAGCAGAAGCAGATGTGCTGTGGCGCAGGGTGGGAGATGTTCACAGCGGGTCACCCCCTGATCTCGTAAAACTTTGAATACTAGAACAGTGCCCAGTCTGTCCTCCGAAACTGTTTTTTCTAGGGATTCATCCTTTATTTGTGCGTCCAATGTGTTAAAGCTTGGGAAGACTTTTTCTCTCAATTTAGGGCTACTGAAGCCCGAGCAGTTTGCTGTGTCCCGTGTCAGGGCCTGAAAGCCCTTCTCTACTCGGGCTATGAGATCAACTCTCTTGGCTAGGAAAAAATAGCAGAAACATGCAGTAGGAAAAGCGGAATCCTCATGGAATGCAGAGTTTGTATTTCAGCAAGGAACACCCTGGGAATACTGCTTATGCTGCAAGAAAGTCAAAGTGATTGAAAACAGCAATCCCTTGAAATTTCAGCAAAATCGTGTGCGATTCATCTCGGTTGAAAAGCATTGACCCTAGCAGTATATTGAAATATTATTACACCAGAAAGCAGTAGTACTACTTGCTGCTACTTCCAGAATACTTTGATTTAAAATAAAACCAAAAAAGAAATGCCACAGAAAACCACAAACACCCCCCTGTCGTTGTTGTACCCCCATCCCCCCCCAAAAAAGAGATCCAAACCAGCCTTATAAGGATACTTACTGAGGAAAATATGTACAACGTTTGTTTTTTCAAAGCTCAAGTCTCAGTGAATTAGAACAAAATAAACGTGAAGTTTCTATGCAACCAGGGCAGGACAATTCAGCGTTTCTCTTTTGAATAATTTTCGCTCAAGTTTTTCAGTTTAGGAATAGACTGCAAAAATTGTTTCAAGAAACAGGCAAAATAGAACACGAGAGCGGCGAGTGCAAGACGGGGGGCTGACCGCCGTTGAGGG